ATATATATATATTTGTAATAGATTTTTATGACTATCATTTTTCTAACCTACTGTATTTTGTATAAATGAGTCCCATATTTCATTATACTTGTGCATACAAAGTCTACATCTATAGGTAGTCCACTCATAAGTGGCAAGCGCAATCAGGTCTTCAATCCATTGAATAAATGGAGCCATACATTTATCTTTCCAGTGCTGCAGTATCAGTGTTTTGGCCATAGTAAGGGCCCAGAGAATCCATTTACATTGTCCAAATGTCAAATTCCATGTATTAGGTATATAGTTCAAAAGAATACTATCCTCTGAAAATTTTAGCTTTTGTTGCACAATCATATTCATATAGTCTACTACTTTCTCCCCAAATTTGGTAAGTATAGGACACTGTAAAAACATATGCTTTAAAGAGGCATTGTCCTTATTACATCTCCAACAAAATGCTATTTTTGACAATCCTTTTCTATACAGATGTAATAGAGTCCACTTCCCTTCTGGCATTCATTTTTGGTAGAACCCACCTTTGCAAGTTTTAATGTCTACGAGCCTTAAAGTTTGGGAAAGCCTTAAATTAACTTGATCTCCTGCCTTTCCTCCGAGTACTTTGTGCATTATCCCTATACTTATTGTTATCCTTTCAGCAACCTTGTGAGATAGATTACTGTACATTGCTTTGATTAGCCATACTCATCCATGAGTTCCATGGAGTGGCAATTTTAACCTGAACCTTCTTAGATGTATTGTGACAGTCTAACCATTACATCATATTGGCTATCTGATAGAACATTAGTGGGAAAAACTGCAGGAAGTTCCACTTCATCTACTGATCCAAAATTTTGCTTTTCCATCTTCTACTCACTCTTGATTGATATTTCAACCTATAGGCATCTTCTGTTATGGATGATGGACAAATATTAACTTAAAGCTATTTATAATTTCAACCAAAACTCTCAATATCTTTCCTGCTGGAGTATACATTTCATAATCTAAGGTAGATGTTGTATTTCCAGATGTTTCTTACCTGCCACTTGACCTAGGTTGTGAATCCAAGTATTATGCAAGTCTCTTGGTGGACAAGGAATGAGAAAAGCACACACCAGCACAAGGATCATGGAGATAACCACAGTGAATAAAAAGATGGCTGTGCGCAAATAAGGCATCAAAGAACTGGCTGTCTTCTGCTCCAAACTATTGGTCATTTCATTTGGGTACTCTTCTGTCATACCCTCCGAGAGATGCTGCTTGGCTATCCCAGCTTCCACATCTGAGTCCACATCCTGCACTTCCCCTAGGGGACTTTTCCCATTTTTAACTCCACCATTCTTCTGCAAATTGAGGACCAGGTCATCTTCGCTCTCATCACTGTCAGCCTGAGTGAGAGGGTCATATTCCCCAAGGTCTGGACTCTTCTTACCTGAGAAGATAGATGGAAAGTGAGAATTAACCATGGTTGATAGGCATGGGTAATTAAAGAACCTGTGGCATTTTCAGGCCCTCTAAAAATGGTCTAAAAGAAAGGGAGGTAATTCATTAGATAAGACAACGATGTCAGGCCTAGCCCAAAGAACTCCTGGAGACCATGCAGGTTCAACCAGCAACGTTTATTTGCCAGCACCTG